CCCCAAAACCCCAAAACCCCAAAACCCCAAAACCCCTTAACTAAATTAACAATTGCAAAAGTAATTATAAATTTAGATCCGATAAATAATCCTTTTTCTTAAATATGGAAACAATAAGCCAGTATAGTGACAATGTGAGGTATCAACTAGCCCAACAACACCTTGACCAGATTTTTATCAAGTGGATTTCACAGGATAATGTCCAGAGTTTTGTGAATAAGTTGATAGACGAAGTTCATGACCCTACTAGCAACATTTTGTCTCCCCCAACTCCAATATTTATTAACAAAATGTCCACTCCAGTCAGTCCAAGTGATAAGAAGGCTGGGAGTTCTAGTCTACTTGGAAAAATAGGGAAGACACCACCAAAAAGTCCATCTGCAAACAATAAATATAAGACTTTTGTGGGTCCTGTGCTTGGACTATTGGGAAGTAAGGAAGAAGAGAAAGATTTATCTTCTCTAACTCTCATCAAGAAGCAGCTTACCGGTGAAATGACTAAATAAACAAATAGTTCCTAAATTTTATTATAAAGAGGGAAGGCCACTAGAAGAGGAGGTCATAAAAGTTAATGAAGAAGAAATTAATAAGGTCTTTGAAGTCCATAAAGAGGTAACAAAGGAAGAGTTTCTTCCAATCACTGAAAAAGTATTCAAATTCCCGAAGTTTCTAAATGGGCTACTTTTCAAAAGGCTTGATCCGAGGAGTACTGGGAAGGTTAGCCACTCTAGCTTCTTAGAAGCCTGGACAAAAGAGTATGAGAGAATCGAAGTTTCAAAGAGAATGTTCAAAGTTCTAGCAAAGCCTGGAGAGCAGTATATCACCAATGATGATTTTAAACCGATGTTGAAGGAGTTATTAGAAACACATCCCGGTCTTAACTTCTTGCAAGCAACTCCTGAATTTCAGGACAGGTACGCAGACACAGTTGTTATGAGGATATTCTTCATAATTGATAGAAATGATGATGGTCGAATAACATATCGAGATTTTAAGCAGTCAAATTTTATAAAAACTCTCTATTTTGTCGACGAAGAGGAAGACATTAATAAAGTTAGAGACTATTTTTCATACGAGCATTTCTATGTCCTCTACTGTAGATTCTGGGAACTTGACAATGACCATGATTTCTTAATCGATAAAGAAGATTTTAGCAGATATGAGGGGTATGCATTATCCAGAAACACAATGGATAGGATATTTGAACAGATCCCGAGAAAATTTAAATCAGAAAATCCTGAGAAAATGTCATACGAGGACTTTGTATGGTTTATGCTCTGAGAAGAAGATAAAACAACCAGAAGAAGTCTAGAGTACTGGTTCAAAATTATTGATTTGGATGATAATGAAATAATCACTCCTTATGAGATGGAATTCTTTTATGAAGAACAAGTTCAAAGATTACAATCTCTGAACCACGAGCCTATCTTATTCAAAGACTTGTTGTGACAGATGAATGATATGATTACGCCAAAAGATGAAGCTAACTTCACTTTCCAAGACTTTTGAGAACGTAAAGACAATGTTGGTATTTTCTTCAACTGTCTGTGCAACTTGAATAAACTTATCTCATACGAGACAAGAGATCTGTTTGCTTTAAAATAACCAGACAAATGAAAATCCTGACTATTCAGAGTGGGACCTCTTCGCTAAAGGAGAGTATGAGCGTCTAGCAATGGAGGAGGAAAATCCAGAAGACTCAGATGTTATTGATACAATGGATAATGTGGATACAACTTGTGAAAGTAATAGAGATTTGACATAAGGTAAGAGATTCTGAAGCACTAATTAATTTTAAATATAATCAGTTTAGAATTGTATATTGGGGTTTTGGGGTTTTGGGGTTTTGGGGTTTTGGGG